CCGAAGAAACTGTGATTAAAAGGACAAACCCGATGTTTCGGCGACACCCTGTATTGTAGGACTCCTTTCGAGAGAAACAGAATTGTAAAGCGATATTCGGCTCTTATCTGCTATTTCTATCGACTGATATTTTGCCACGCGTGATTAAGTATTTTGGAAGAAGAAAACGACTGAACACAGTCATTCACGAAAATGTGCCGATTTTAATTCAAAAAATCACGTTTGCAAAACCAAAGCGGAAACACGATTTTGTTACTTTTGCAGACTATCAAAAAAAATCTCGTACATCTATGTGAATCGTTTATTGCGAAAATGTGCCGTAATAAAAGAAATAATTACAAAATGATTAAAATAAAATTATCATCACCTTTTTATCATGCAAAAGAACGTCACGTTTATACTTTATTCTTTTTCATTCATCACAAAAACCTAAATCAGTTTTATATATATATATATATATATATATATATATATATATATATATCCTAAGAATGATATAATGGAATAAATCACAGAGTGATACTCTCCATGTTGCGGCACATTGATAGTAAATGATAGCGAGATTACTTTAGTCGGACAAAAACGAGCGAGAGAGAAAGAGTGAGAGAGAGAGAGAGAGAGAAAGAGAGAGAGAGAGAGAGAGAGAGAGAAAATGCGTTAGATAGAGAGCGAAGTGTCTTAGAACTAATGGAATTCCTCTGCGCGAATGCACGGAACGCGCTAAATACAAGCAGCCACCTCCGAACGAGAAGTCTTCAATACCATTTGCATATTGCTTTATTGTTACACGAACATTATAACGAACATTATTACATTAAAAAAAAAAAGAAAGGAATATTACAGGTACAGCGGTACGCATACGATTAAAGCGTGAGTTCCACGACGCGACGATGACGATTGCGCGGGCAGGTTTCTGATTAAATTTCTTCACCAAGATTTTGTCATTTCGCACTTGGGATTTTTTTAGGGACGCGATTCCAGCATCTCAATTCTCTCTCGTGAAATCATTTTTTACGTTGATACGATTGCGCATACAAATTTCGACACGAGTCAGAGAAAGAGAGAGAAAGAAACGCGATAAAATTGCCATTTATCACTCAGTTAAGTGATTAACAAATTTTTCAGGCCAATGAGATATATTTTATTTCCTTTTTTAACAAAGATAAAAATATCATTTCTCGCTTATCATTCTAGAGCAAAGAGTCAAGAATTATCAGCGATTATATATTAAATCTAATTTGTGCTAATTACGTTCGATTCAAAAGACTCTTCCGCGCGATTAGAACGTCCTGGAACACACATACATACTTTAGATACTATACGCGTTACGTTTTTGTATTTACGAAGAAAAATCTACGAGATGGGAGACGGACTTATTTTTCCCTCTTTTCTACTACTTTGTATATTACCAAATAATCGTTAATTAGAGAAGTTATTATAACTAGCGTTTCGTTATTTTAATCAACAAGATTTTATTAAGAATATAACGACGATGAATGAATCGCTTAACCGTCGTTATCGTAACGATGCGGCCTGATTTACGCATTTCTGTTGTTGCTTTATGTGGTAAAGTTAAACTCTATTTAATTCGCGTACATTTATCAACGAGTGGGAGATCGATGTTTATGATCAATTCTTCCTCTGCCTTATTTTTCTTCGCCTGTAAGAGAATCTTAGCATTCATTTGCGTAAATAATATTTTTCGTAGCTTGGAAAGTCTGCCAGGATTTATTCGACTGATTAGAGACACGCGAAAACTACACATGGTACAAGACAAATTTAATAAACGTGATCTCTCGCGGACAATTTTCCTTTTTAAGATCTGTGAATCAAGTGGCATCGTTCCTGAATATCTCTCTCATTATACAATAAAGTATAATAAACCTCGCAAATCTGTCGACGTTGGAAAGCAATCGATTGGTTCCTTAGAAGCCAGAGAGCCAAGAGATTGCGCCAAGAGAAGTACAAATCATAAAAAAAAGAGAGAATGGAAAAGAGAAAAAGATGGTAACTGCGAAAAAATCAATCATTCGAAGATGAGATAATGTGACCAATATCGAAAGAGGTGTAACATTTGACTTTACTTTCATCGCTTTTCATTCATTACCTTTGATTATATTATTGCTTGTAACATTCATTCGAGATACCTTGAATACAAAAAAAAGTAATAAACCATGTTATCCGCTTGTTTCGTCCCTTGTATGAAACCCTACCTGTGATATATTAATAAAGCAAGCTAAATTTCGAGCGATTTTTATGCGATAGTATATTTGATGATGATTTATTTTATTTACGTTTTTTTAACAATTTATTTCAAAAAAATTATTACAAGTTTTTCCTTTTGAATTTCCTCGCAAACAACATTTCTGTTCAAAGTTCAAAGTATACAAATTGATAACAAAAGAATTTATATGTTTAAAAATATTGATATATTGATTAATATTGATATATTGATAAATTAATATATATAATATAAATTATTATAAATCGTAAATTAACAAAAAATTCTGGGAGCTCTATAAAGAAGAGATATGTGGAGAGGAGCCTTTATTTTTTTGTAGAGAAAAAATTATGACCACAATGCAATGAATTATTTCATTTGTAATTTTTATTGAAACACTCTTTAGGGTACACAAGCTCTATCCTAGATAAGCATTAAAGTAAGTATAAAAAAATGAACAACTGCTTATAAAATCACAAAGTGTGGATGTCTGCCCTTCTTACAATCATTAAACGTACTTTAACATGCATACACGAAGGCACAACGATCCTCGACCCTTACGCGCTGAGTATTTCGCCGCGAGAACGATGTTGAAGTGATATCGCTGAGCCGATCGTGTAATTGTAGCACAGATCTGCTCGTTTTAGTTGCACTCAAGAGCAGCTAAAACGGCCAGGTCTTGCGTTATTCGAAGATGATCGCTCGCATGGAGATCCATTGACATCCAATGCCCCAAAGGAACTAGAAAAATAATTCTAGCAGCGCAAACGATGTGTGACATCGCTATTACAAGCTTCCTCGCTATAGATTCTTTCGGCGCTCGTCGTCATGGCAAAATTATACACTCTCCGAGAACATCAACATACGAAATAAGCGTATTCGCTCGGTACACGCTTATAACACACAGAGTTCTGTCGTAAAGGGGACCGAGTGCCTTCTATACAAATTCATTACGCAATATAATATTCATGATAATAAAATCTATACTTCGTATTATAAATCTAAAAACTTATTGTACACTCGTAATATAGCTAATTCATTGTAACGAATGTATCCTGATTATTCTCATTCAGCTCATAATTCTCTCTTTGAAGAAGGCCACTTGTTTCCAAATTTTCTCTCTTACGACAGTTTAATTATCCTTGTAACTGAATTCTATATTCTGATAAATGAAAAATATTCGTCGGTATTCTTGGATAAACAATTTAATTATCGAGACGAGCATAATTAGACGAGCATAATTAAAATATCTCAAATAATTGTCGCAATTACTGTGTATCTTCCGCTATTGAACGGAGAATGACATTGTAAGGTCAACCAGTACAACGGTTATCCTTATACTCATTTATAACAAGGCGCACTTATATTCTATTGTTTGCTTAACGTGTATTAAATAATCACAAAAATGAGACCAAGGTCTAAACGCGTCCTTTGGTCGGGACCATCAACCGAGAGGTGGTCTCGCACCTGACTTTCGATGAGAGTTTATCGTCCATGCAATCGCAGACGATATTCGTCGATGGCTTCTCTAACATTGGGATAGAAATAATTTCAATATATTTTTTATCTAATATTATTTTACTCGCGAAAATTGATTTGCAAAATAGAAGTCTTCATTAAAAAATTCGTACAAAATGTACGAAACAAAAAATTAAACGGCAGAATTTTACAGATTTTCCAATATAAGTTAAATTGTTCAATTCTAATCTCATTTAATTGATATTTTTCTCTCCTATTGCAGATTGCCATCAGATTTTATTGTCAAGGCGACATACAATATGTAATAAAATTTATTAATCTGATCGTAATATTGAAGTGCCGATGTACAGATTACGAGTTCAGTTTATTCTCTTGAAGTTAGACATACGATCACAAGTGCAGGTAGGTATTATAATATTTTCATAACTTCTACCAATTTTTCGACGATCGGCGCTAAATGACGTCGATTCGCCATTCAGTTCGATGCGAAAGTGAAACGGTAGCGATAACTGTGATAAAGACACTTCGATAATGAAAATATGAAGTAACTTACGTTTAAAACATACCTTAACAGTAAAATAGAGTATAAAGTATGACTTAAGTACAACCATAAAAACTTGGTCATTATTATGGCATTCGTATCCTTAATTACGCGGCTCGCCAGACCGCATCCCCTCGAACGGCGCGTGTCTCTTTATAAAAAGAATCTACTACTCGTGTACGAGACGATGTCGTTACGCATACGCAAATCGTATTAGACAATGCGCGATTATATACGGCATGTAGATTCGATTCTCTTCGCGACTTTCCGGTTTCCATCTTCAATTGAATGGCAAAATATCGTGTAATTCCCCGACAAATGAAGATTTCTTTATTTTTTATATCTACATCTATGCATTGAAAATTGAAAAATATTAACTGCATTGTGTTATGAAAAAAATATTGCACGTTAATATTACTATAATATATTACATTATAATATCTGTAGTTAATTCATCAAATATTTGATTTATATTTTGCTTTAAAATTTATTTCATTTAGGATATAATTTTTTCTTATATATCTGATTATTGAGAAAGAAAATCACTTCGTCAGAAAAATAATAAATAAATACTATCAACATTATTCCGTCTCTAACTAAAAAATTAAAGAAATCCTCCCCCTTTTTATACATAATGAAACAAAGACAGAGCAAATGATATGCAAAACAATATTTGACGATATATTTTCGTTTTCGTCGTAAGAAAAATTTCAATCATAATTAATTTTCAATTTTCTAAGTAGGAAAAATATTTGCGCAGCCATTTTATATACTTGAAAGATTTATGAACAAATCTGTTTTATATGGAATAGATTAAGTGTATTATACCTACATACCGGAAGATCATTGTTACTTGGGATCTTACAAAGTATCAGCTTCCACTACATTGCTTCGTCGCGTTTCGATACTGATCTTGATACTCTTTATAACACGGCGTCGCCTTTCTCTACAAGAGCATTCTGATAATTCACTTCTCTTTTCGTGACCTGAACATATCCTCTTCCGCTGCGTCGCTATTTTTGATTATTCCACTTATCGTTAATCGACAATCACAGGAAGTACGCAGCGTTGATCAGGCTTTTGGGTCTTTTATGTGTGTCGTGTTTGTGTATACGTATGTTTATGTGTGTATGTATGTATGTATAGAGGGTGTACACATGCATTTGTATGTCGGACAAGTTTGAATGGCTTTCGCAGCTGCGATATATTAATGCTGAAAGAATGACGGAATCGCTGACAGAAATATATCCCGTCCTTCTATTCTTCTCCCTTGAGCTCCTGTTGCGAATTTTGATTAGTTGAATGACGCCGGTGATATACGGCTCTTCATCTGAACCGCTCTTTGCCTTCTTCAGCCCTTCGTCGGTCGAATCTGTAAGCAGAATTAAAATCACATTTTATATAAAATATAAATTAATATAAATATTAGAGAATTAATGCAAAATATAGACAACAAAGCTAAGTCCATAATCCTGAATATCAGAAGTTGTATAATTTATTTCTTCTTTAAATGCATCATGTAATAATTTCGTCAGTATTTTTCAAAGACACTTATGGAATGTAAATAATAAAATAACAGCCTATTTCGTGTTAATAATTTAATGTTCATAATTTTATGTCTTTTAGATATTTATATGCAAGACATAGTGATAAAATTGATAATTATTGAAAATTCCATATACTTTACAAACTGCATCTTTTTCAATATCGCTAATAAACAATTACCGGTAGTAATAAAACACAATATATACGCGGAACTTGATTGAATAAATGTAATTATATTTCGTTATTTACGATGTCGTTAATTAAAAGTGTCGCGCGTCGACAATAATTTAAGATATTTATTTAAATCTCGTTCAGAATATATCAGGGAAAATATTTAGATAGAAATGAGAATTTGCACACCTCAAAAATTACTTTTTAATTAAAAATTGATTGGAATTGCTTAATTAAAAATTGATTGACTTAAAAAAAAAGAAACACTTGTTTAAAACAGTTATATGATATAAAAAAGTATTAAGAACACATTTTTATGTACCGCAATAATTGTTTCACTTCTAAAGAGTTTTAGGTGATTTATTCAAAATATGGCTAAATTAATCAAATTATTAAGATACGAAATTTCATTTCGAATATTTTTCTTGATATTTAGAGTAGCAGAAATTTTTATGGGATTCAAGTTATAATTATAATGATCTCATAACAATCTCAAATTTCAAGTAAAGATCAAACATCTATTAATGCACTTTTATGCAAAAAGTTGTTCTTTATATATATATATTCCAAAGCAATATATCAATTTTTTTATAATCAAAGCAATCATAACTTAATTCCGTACTGTTTATCCATACTTGTTATCCAGGATTATTCATTGACTAAATATATAATAATTAAACGGTTCTGGGAAAATGCACTGACAAAGGGAACATCAGGTAACGCGGTCGGGGATTTTTAAGCATTTTTTTATTTTAGACTTTTTGAGCGAAAAAAAAAACGATATATAGCGATATCCAGCCATTTCAACCATTGGCCCATAGTTTCGAAGAAATCGATTTTTTAAAATAATTATTGTAGTAATTTGAAACGTACTGTATAAATGAAAATATCAGTATCCTTATAAATTTCATTTTAATTCAATGTTATTAGTTTTAATTATTTTTTGATTGTAATGAAATTTCATGAAATTATATATTAATATTATAGATAATAATTAAATACTCATTTATGGAATATTTATTATTATTATCGTTATCGTCGTCGTTGTTCATATGAACGCATAAATAACATTGTAATAAAAATTGTTGTACAGTTATGATGAAATTAGAAATTGAAAATTATGATTAGGAATAAATAAGTATGTGTTTGTAATCTTCTTTTGATTAACATCAATCGATTTATTAATAATAATAGAAAATTAATCGTGTTTTGTAGACGTACATGTGGAATATTACACAAATATAAAAAATCTGTGCAACAAAAGTTTAATATAATACGCGATCTGGATGTAAATATTGCTATACGCTTTTTAATAATCCATTTGTTCTTTCGATGCAGTTCTTAATTTGTGTTTGTGTATACAAACTTTCTGAAGTATTTGATGCTGCATCTCTATTTAGTGTCAATAAATAAGACAGTAACGGATATCCGGAGTCTCCTATTAGATAAGTTGCTTCATTATCTTGTATTGCAGGAAAATCTTTACGAGTATATTATACTCATAGTCTAAATCATGGCGTCGTGAACACTATCGGGACAACGAGAATCTACAGCAATTTTTCCGTTCACGTTGCAAATCTAACATAACCATCAATAACAATAACAATGTTAATAAATTAATATATAGGCTGTGTTCTGATGTACACTGTACTGGAAATATATAATTTATCATATATTATAAATATTTAATACTGACACTGTATATTATAAGCAACCATCATATATTGAAAAAAAGATGTTTAATTATAACAGTTGACAGTTTATACTGTAGAAATTTTTTCGATTCATAAAAACATTTGATGGATATTCAAACTGCCTGAGACTTAGTGAAATTATTATATATTGATATGCGTGCAATCAATGCAGCCTATAATTCCTAGTGCCATGTTTTGCAAAAAATCCCTGTTTTGTTATAACTATTTCTTCAAAATTTTGAAGAAATAATGTCGCGCGCTTGCGATGTTTGACGATGGACTGGGCGAATTTGATTACTTTATAAGTTAATAACTATTGCAATAATTGTAAAATGCTAGAGGACTTTTCCTCTCAGTCCATTCTGTCTGAAAAGCATTCTGTGCGAAAGATTCATCACTAATTTCCAAACATCCTGTATATATAAAAAATATGTAATCCTTTATATATATATATATATATAATTAAAATGGTACACCTTGTAAATGTAAATTAATTTTCTCCGAAATCATCGATGATACAAAAAATATTGTTTCAGATGAAAGTGGAACGGTTTCGAAGAAAATTTTGAGTACTCATATAGTTGGGCACTTTGGAATACTCATTGGTTTAGGCATTTCGGCAAATCCAAAGAATTCCTATCCGATAATGTCTTAGAATTCACTTTGAACGAATTTAAGATATTCTGTGACAGGTTACACATTTACACACATTTACCTGAGTTTATCATTCTCAGAGCCAGCTGTTCCATTTTCAGATAAACTGTGTAATTTATCTATTGGATAAACAAGAGTAAAAAAGTGACAGCATAAAAGAGTAAGAGAGTAAGACAATGAGTTGAAGTTTACCAAAAGGTGGAATAACCTCAGTCGGATAAAAACGGAAGATTTAGACGTGTAAGTATGTCCTACGGATTTCCTAGCATGCTAGAAGTATTCAAATTTTCCAGCAAAGCAGAAACAGAACATCTTATCGAGTCTTATAAAAGGGAAATTCTTGGACTGCAGCGACAGTTCCTCGAGTTCGTTACAAGTAGTTACACAAAATCTTAGTACAGTTATAAGTTCGAAACTAATATAAGTTTATATAAGTTATACAAGTTATTGTACACAAATTACAAATAAATTTTTCTTTCTTTTTTTTTTTTTGGAATAATATCTCTTAAATCTTAAATTTTAAGAATCTTAAAGTTTTGTCAGAATAACGTTCTCAAATTACGAAATAATCCATCATGAATTTGAAACATATAAAAATATTTTTGCATTTTCTGATTTCATTAACAATGTGTCAATATATTCAAACTCAGTCTCATGCATGCACACATACACCTGACTATAATTTCGTAAAAGACTTAAGTAATTATGGTAAGTATTTAGTAGTACATATATTGTATTCAGACACAATATTCAAACACAATATTTAAGTAATTTTTCCTAAACGATAAATCTAGGAGATCAAATAACTAAAATAGCGGGCGGACAATACGCAAGACTCGGAGATTTTCCGTACATGGTAGTAGTGCATCAAATCATAGGTAACGGAAACGCCATACAATGCGGAGGCACGATTTTATCAAAAAGATGGGTTCTCACAGCCGCTCATTGTGCGGAAAAATACCCACGAAGATTTTTAATAGTTTTCGGTATCGTTAACAAGTATGGGATAAGCTACGATACTTATCAAGGTCCCGGTAGGTCCATGATTGCGACTCAAGCGTTTATACATCCACATTACAGTCAGGGCTTGAATGACATTGCTTTAATTCGTATGCCGCATGATATTCCGTTCTCCAGTAAGTATATTTAAATTAACCCTTATCGTACAAGGTCGAGTCACTAGTGACTGAGCGATTCCTATTCGTGCAAGTTTCTTTGAGTCTTTCGATAATTATAAATTATACTACATTTTTATTATTTTCCAAAATGAAGTTTCAATATTTATTTTAGAAAGTTGAAAGCTATTGATGAATTTTTAGAAATTTTTTGAATCATTCTGAGGCATGTTCGTATTCTCACTTGGGGCTTCCCGGATGTCATATCATCCTTGTTATTGAATGTTAAATATAAGAATGACATCCGAGGAGCACCCAGATGAGAATCAGAACACGTCTCTGAATAGGTGAAAAAACGGATGGATCTAATGATCCATGTTTGGATTATGGATGGACAAGGCATCAAATTGTACCTTGTATTGTAAGAGTTAATATTTCTCTTCTTTTCTTCTTTTGCAATTATTTATACATCCGTGTTATTTAATTATTCTATACGGAAAAACGCGAAAACAATTTATTTACAAATAGTCTTATAAATACAGAAACTTGATAATCACACAAAAATCGTATTGTATATTTATATATACTTAGTTTCTTTTATAATCTTTACATTCTGAAAAATATGACAAATCATTAAATAATTTAAGGGAGAACCTGATTTAGAATGCTGATAAGTAATAAGCTGTTTTTTTTTGCAAATTTTTTATGAACAAATTATGAAGTCGATCTTTTTAAAACTTTAGGAATGATTTGTTGTATATTTGAAGAAAACAAAATAATTTTTAAATAAATAATGACTATAATAAAAAGTTATTTATCAATATCGTGCTTTACCACTGGAATGTAAATTGACGTGCAATTTGAAGTTTGTAATTCTTGCCTGAAATTCTTGTCTAGAAAATTCAAAAATTTTTTTATGTATGAGATATGTTATCCTCGATGAACTAAAAAAAATAAGAGAAAAGTATCAAATTGTAAGAATTGTAGAATCTTGAAGAAAAAGTAATGATTTTGAACAAAAAAAATTTCAATTTATTTGAGAAATAATTGTTTATACTTCTATAATTTTTTTATAATTTTTTAATAAACGTTTTTATCTAGGATGGTTGACAATTATGTAATTAAAAAAACTTTACAAGAAATTGATTGGTTGAATAGTTTTTGAGTATCTTGCCAATTTTGGAAAAGTGATTTCGAGAAAAACGTGTTCAAAATTTTCGATATCGAAAAGTAATGCTTTTTTACAACTTATTGCTAATTCGTTATTCCATGCCCATACAACAAACTTTCCGCTTTCTCATTTTGTCTCTTGTTTTGTCGCATTAGTTATAGTCTATGAGCTGTACGAGTCTCTTTCATGTTGCTTAATCTGCGCCTCGTAATTTGCTGCTCATCGTAATTGTCGGCGAATATTTTACAATGTTGGCCTATATTTATTCCCAAAAATTGCATTATTTTTAAAATGCCAGAATAGCCTTCATTGAAGGTATATGCGGAAACGAAGGCAACCATTTCGATAATTTTTGCGCAAGAATAAGTGTTTTGAAACGAGAAATGCCAAATAGTGGAATTAAAACTTTTGTTTGAGTTTTGCGTGTGCCCTTTTTGAAAATAAACATCTACTAAGCATGATTGGTAAGAAACATGTTTCAAATGTGCAGTTTTAAACAGTTCAAAACATGTTTAATTAATGTTTTTAATATGTTTTTTTATAGTACTGTTTAAAGCATATTTGAAGCATTAAAAACATATTCAAGAAGAAATAAAATATGTTTTATTCTTAAAAAAAAAAACATTAGCCTTTACCAACCCTGCTGCTAAGGTCAATAATATTGTTAGAGACCAAAAAACAGAGCAAATTCACACCCATGTATATTTGCGCGTATTTATTCCTCAGGCTGTAACTATGAAAGTATTTCGAATTTCGGTTTAAAACTTTACGATTATATTATATTTATTTTTTGAGAGTAATATTATTAAAAATCTTTATTTTATACTGCATATGAGAGAACACAATTAATACTAGAAATTAAAATGCCTATAAGCCGGTCAAAGCTGGATCTTCATTGCTTAAATAATTCAATCTTGAATTACTACTATATATACCATATGTGCATTTGTATATATACTATATTGTAGTTTTTCGAACTGCGCGTTGAATTTTTCCGGACTATAAACGCAATTAAATTACTCCAGTAATCGTGAATTAAATTGACAAGCAATTTTAATAATTTGATACTACAATCAGACATCATATTATAAAGATGTTAATATATTGAAAAACTGTTAATAAATTTATTTCTTTATATAATATTATAGTAATATTATTGATTAAAGCAAAAAAAAAATCAAAATTTTTGATCCTTTAAACCAGGTTCTCCTCTTAAAAAATATAATGAATATTAATATGTCGTAGACATTAAAAAATAGTTAAATTCACATTTCTCTATTTTAGAAACTGTTCAACCGATAAACCTTGCTTATGAAAACTCAGAAAATTTTGACGATAAATCTGCTTTTGCGATCGGTTGGGGAAAATATCACACAAATAGCGGAGTTTCGACAAGACTTCAGTACGCCGCATTGCCGATTATTAAAAATACTGTATGTAGGCAATTTTGGTACCAAGTCACTGAGAAAGAGGTTTGCACGGCACCAGGATTAGGACGAAACGCTTGTCAGGTAAAATAATTAAAAATAGTAAAATAATACTAAATAATAAAATAAATCCCTATAAATATCTATGAGTGAAATACTCTAATAAGTAATATGAATCTCAAATTATTTTTAGCTAGTTTTAATAAATGAATATTGACCATATCTTTTTTCGTATATTTAATATTTGATATTTTACTTTTTAGGGCGACAGCGGTGGTCCACTCGTTGTAGTGGAAAATGGCATGGATATTCAAATCGGTATTGTAAGTTACGGAGACGCATATTGTCCTAGCAATATGCCCGGCGTTTTCACGAGGGTTTCGTCGTACATAAGCTGGATTTACGGAATTATAATGAAATTTGATACAGACTATATTTTTTGATTTTTTTTAATGTTGATATATTTAAATACATATGACAAATAATATTAAAAAGATTTACGTACATATATAAAATGTCCGTAAAAATACATAATATTAAATTTAAAATGTCATGATCAAATTGAAGAATTTAAATACAAAGATTGGTATTAAAAAGTTTTTATATATGTGAAGTAATGAATAAACTTAATACAGAAATTTTGTTATATACTCGATTTAAATACATTTTATATATATTACTTAAAAAATTATTACTTAAATTACATTTAATGCATTTAATGCATATATATTTTCTTTATGTAAAACATAAAGTTCTTTATAAAACATCGTAAAAATGTATTTATAAAGATATATATATATATATATACTTAATTTTATATATTATAAATATACATATAAACATATTTTTTTGCATTTAACAAAAAGTAAAGTATCTCATTGTGAGTGTATTACACGGGAATTTGGCTTAGCACAGCAATTACATGCTTCCCGATAAAATTAGCGGCCTAATTGGGAAAGTATAGCGTAATCGCTCACTGTTAAACAACTAGCGAGGGTATTCTACGTTTAGACCTCGACCGGATACCCCGACGCGTACCAATAATTTGACGTAATTTAATAAACGCGACCTGCTCTCTCGTCTGCGCGCGCGGGGTCGTGCGACTGTTATTACCGACAGTTTGATCGTATCTCAGTAGTGCGTAATGATGATGCACCTAGTCACTGGCATATAGTAGCGGCCCGATCATCGGTCATGCAAATTGGCGCTACGGAGTACAGTGGATCTCCTTACCCGATTTCTCCTTAATGCATCCCATCATATACCGGTTTAGAAAACAGTATATCGATATTAAGCTCACGATCGTTATATGTATATTCATTCGTAATTCATTGCACTCATTAAGTTATTTCTTCGATTTCCCCGATGTTAAATCCATAATGTCTGCAGATTGAAAGAATCGAGGTCGAAACGAAACTCTGTAGTATGATTGAGCATTTAATACATGTAGATTGAATTTGTCCTAGAGATTGTTTGCAATGTTGCTTAACGGAGCAACACAATAATTTTTAATAAAAGTCCAAGTTCAAAATTGATAATCCATAATTTTTAAAAATATTATTAATGGTAATATTAAAAATTAATGCAGAAAAAATTTTATATTAAAAAGAAATCTTTACATCCAAGCAACTTTTATTAATAAATTTTATTCTAAAATTTGTTTCTTTTTCTTTCCATCTGTTGATTGTTTCATTTGTTGATTGTTCCATCGTTGTAGGTTATTATGTAATTTTAAGTTAGTATTATAATACGCAAACTAGAATCATTTGAAATGTTGCTCAATAACGTAGGAATTTTTTAAATAATTATCATTAATAATTATCACAATGATGATAATTACAAGAAATTTATATAAAAAAAAAAACTTTAAAGTCCAAATAATCTTCAATCCTGAAATTTGGAAATTCTTTGTCATTTCATTGTTTGTTACGTTCAATAAGTTATTTATCCTATTTTCTAAAGTAAGTCAATGTTATGATATGCGACTCGAGTATCATTATAAATATTCAGAACTTCTTTTTTCAGCGTATAAAATGAAATCATAAATTCTTCCAAAATATTCCAACATTTGAAACCGCAAGATATAATAATCATGATCTCCTTTAAAGGCAAATGGGCAATATTGCGTGGATAAAAAAATAATCTTTCAGTTAGTAGGTTAATGTCCTTGGGGCTCAACGGACCCACACAAATGAACGTTATTAAACAGTGGGACGATGAAATCGGCACACTTTTTCATTATGGAATGAGTTTCGTTCAATGCCCAAGTATTTAAAGTTACTGCCTTAAACTCTTGGAACTTAATAATCAGTCTGAAGACTCGTAGGTAATTCTTCGAATGCGGAAGAGATCGGTGATGCTTGCGGCGTGTTGAAAAAATGAAAAAATCGGAATATGTAATTCAAAAAATATGTAATAGTTTCTGGAATTGTAAAAATTGGAAATAAGAATATTAGAAATTAATATCTTTCCACATTAAATTTAATCGAATTAATAAAATCTTCTATCTTTAATTTTACATTGCCAAATAAAAATTTGACTGTATGAATATTTCTATAAATTGTAATAATATTCGCAAAGTTTAATGCCGACAGTAGAAATTTATATCACATTCAGACATTTCTTAGGAACTGTCATATTATAAAATCAAATTATCTATTTTGAATTCTCTTTTCTTAAAATGAATAATTTACAAGTCGCAAGAGGATAACTCAGCGAAGGTACTGGACAAAAATACCAGACAACTTCGGCGTCAGAAAAAGCACGACGAAAGGTACACGTGTTTCGAGGCTGACTTTCGTCTCGGGCAGCAATTAAGCATGTCGATAAATCCGACGCGCGCGCGAGCGAGTGAAAACCGAGCAAAAGAGTCCGCCCCGTCGTGCAATGAGGGAGCGAGCGTTGTTTATCACTCTCCTCGCCACGTTGCAATTACGCTCGTCGCTGTAAAAGATTTCGCGCATACGCGTGATCATAAAAAGCGGGGGAGTTTTCGCCAAGGTCCGCCTTGTAGCGGTCAATGGTGGTGGCCATCGATTTAATTCGATTTAATTTATAATTGGTCCCAGAACTCGTTTGAGCGATCGAACCCTTTGTTTATTCTCAGTGCGACTTGCAGTGCGGACCCGCAGACGGCATTTCGCGAATTTTTCTCAACGAAGCGACGAGCATGCGTCGTCCGCGATATCTATGTTCGGAATCGATTTAAGTAGAGATTCTGTAAGAGATATATGAGACTTGCATTACCAGTACAACGAAAAGGATAATTACTGTTTTTAAGTTTATTTTTACATTCGAAGGTTTGCATATATTTTATGAATGTGTGGAATCTGTACACATAGAGAAAAATGAATAATCTTACAAGCCTAGTAAAAATATTTTAGCTGTTTTTGCCGAATTTATGACATATTTTATTTGCCTGAAAGTAAAAAATATTAAAGATATCAAGATAAAAAGTACATTACAATTAATAATAATAATGATAAATTATTAATAACAAATCCATTCAAATGATTATCTTACAGTGAAGTAAATCAAACTATTCTCAAGACTGTAAGTACGAATAATTTTTCAAGATTTTATTATACACTTTTATTTTTTACCACGCGGTAAAGTAAATCTCGCGTCATGTCTTAGTGCCGAGACACTACCGTGTCTTCAGATTTTTTTTGTTAGTGTTAAGACAAAAATAATAATATAAAATAAATTTTATTGAGATGTATCGAGATGATTATAGATTAAGAAACAGTAAAAATTTGCAGTAGCATAAAATTTATTTTACAAAAAAATATCTTCCAATATACTATGCTATGATCGCTCATTTACTAGAAAAGTAAAATAAACTTTGCATAATGGACTCCTGTCTCTATCAGCCAATTTCATAAAATTTATCAAAATTCTAGCGCACATTACTTTACATTTTTCATGCAATATATTTTCATTTACGAAATATGACTGTACATATGACCTTTGATTCCTTGAACTATTTTAATTACTAAAGAACATTTCCTCATTTTATATCAAAGCTTTAGTGATAGTATAATAAATGGTTTCTTCTTATTTTATGTATTAAAATAATGGTTACATAAAATACCCAACGTAATAGCGTTAAAATAGCTTAGCGTTTTAAAGATTAAACGCTTTACCAGCTTCAGATAATTCCTGGAAGATTTCGACTGTTGCATGTCTCACGTGAATCCAATTATATTTTTCCAGAATGACAATGATTAATTACGCTGAAACGTCTCTCACAGAAGATTATAAAGGTCATCCAGTGAAAGCGCACGATAATTAATATTGATCGATTACGGGATGTATTTCGATAACGATTAACCCTACGTGTTAAAATCCTCGTCGCGCAATTGGGATCACGATGATGCAAGCGAAACGTGCAACTCCATCGATATCGTGGCTGATAGAATTTTCATTCACCAATTTCCGAAAACAAATTTCATGGAGATAAATTATTAAACAAAAAAAAATTTCAATCTTCTTATATATTTTCTCTCGTCTTGATATTTTTCCAAGACTGGCAATTTTTACTCTTTTTATTTTTTCAAAAAGATTCTTAAAAGAATAAAAAGAAGATTCTTTAATTTCATTAATTCAACAATTCCCTTTCTCTTCCTCTCTAAATTTGAATCAGTGGATAATCACTGATGCCACTGGTAATCAGTGAATTAAATGTGAGATCCCTAACCTAGCTAATCTTTATTATGTGAAAGTCAATGAATGAATATGACATTGGAAGATTGAAATTAACATGAAAATATCAGTATTTTAGTTATATAATGCTCAAACATTCTTCTTTTTTAATTGAACTTCACTGATTATCAATGCCAAGTATGGCTACTGGGTAATCACTGATTCAGATTTAGAAAGTAATCAAGACTGCACACTTTTAAAATTTTGATTATATTCCCAGGAAATGAATATTCTTAAACTTCAAGAAGTCGTCATCCATCTTTGGTTGAGAGTACGGGAAGCAAGCTCTTCGCATGAAATTGTCGTAGAAGATTCAAGCCGGGCATGTAATCCCCGTTGCGGATATGTCGTCTATTTGCACCACAACGTTGCGGCGAAGGTCGCAGTTAATTGACCGACGGCGGTTATGCGCTCGCGGCTGGCACACACGGCCGCAGCAGACGGGAAAGTCAACGACTGCAATAATTGCAGCCTACCATTTCCGTTTCGAACGAAAGCTCTCCGAGGAGGAGCGTGCATTTCGCCACGCTCGACTTACGAGCGAGCGCGTCGAGAGCTTGGAAACCCAGTGAACTCGTTGTGCACGATTCGAGTTCAATCGCGTTCTGCGAGAGATCGTGCGATGGGAATGCTTGAAAAACGAATTCCGAATCTAATTTTAGAGAATAGAAAAATAAAAGATGCGGATAACATGTAGTTAAAAGTTAAAACGCTACCGGATAAC